CTTTTGCAGAGTCTTAAAAGGCTTATATTTTGTTTTACATCTATTGATATTTAACTTTAAATTTTAGCCTGTTTACCAAATTAGGTGACCCTTAAATTATCTACTTATCAAAGCCAAGAATAGAGTGACAACTTTGACTTTACTTTAATAAAGCTGAGGAATTTTGTGTCTTTCTACTTGGCTTATTGAATCTTAGATTGCATGTATACATAATGATGATTAGCTAGATCATCTAATTTTGGATGCTCATTCTCTCAATGCTGATTATTGTATTATTGGCTCATTTTTTGATATCTCCCTTTTTTCACAATTTCTTTTAGTTTTTTCATTTCCTTATTTCTTTATTTTTTTTATTAATCATCACCTGAGGATATTTTTTTCCATTGATTTTTAGAGAGTGGAAGGGAGGGGGGTGAGAGAGAAACATCAGTGTGAGAGAGACGCATCGATTGGTTCCTGAACCTGCAACTGAGGAACGTGCCTTTGACCAGGAATTAAACCCGAGACCCTTTAGTTCTCAGACCGATGCTGTATCCACTGAGCCAAACCAGCTAGAGCAGTTTTTGCGTTTATTTAAAAGGCATTTATAGCCATTATTTAAACATAGTTCCATGTATAACAAGTTTCAATTCTCACAGAAGTTCCAGGAAATAAGGTGTATAAGGAATAAGGTGCGCAGTATTGAATTCTCAGCTTTGATTCATCTCTCAGTCAGCTAAAGTATATCTGTGAATATTGTTTTTACAAAGAAGGGTGCCCACATAGCATTTTCTCCTTTCTCACATGCCTGGGAAAGTCTTTCTGTTGACTTTACAGAATGTTAAGGGACAGGGAATTTTTGGTGAATCATTTATTGTTTCATTCAACAAATATTGAGAACCTACATGTGTTAAACATTGCTATTTTCTCTTAAGCAAAATTTTTGTTGAGCCATTACATACATACAAGGAAATGTGCAACCCCTAAGCGCACAACTCAATGCAACTTAACAAATGTCAAATTGTTGGTCAAGATGATTTGCTTGAGCAGGTGGTGTCTGACCTGTACTTTCTCTTCAGTGCCTTTTTTTTTTTTTTTAACTTTCTGGTGGAAAAGTCTTACATCAATATAATTTTGGCTCCTGATTTAGTGTCTTATGTTTTCCTTCTGGGAGTCTTATATTTTCTTTATTGTTAAAAAAGGGTCAATATATTTAAATATGGTCTTTTAAAATTAGTTTGGTCTAAACCTAGTTTTCACATTCACTTACAAAATATAATTTCCCCAAACCAGGAATCTTTTTTCCTATTACAACTTTATTGTATCCCTTGAATGTATTCAGGTTTCTTATTTGAATTTTCTGTCTTCCACATATTTCATCTCTGCTACCTATCTTTTATATCTACTATCAGCTTATACTTACCATCCATTTATTTCTTTGCTACTTTTCATCTGCATTCCAGAGAACATCTCAAGTTAGTCCTCTCCAAGAGCTCTGTCTGTGATTGTCAGACAGAATGCACCACAGTCACCCCCTGAGCTTGTTACTGCTCTCCAGGGGTATTTACACTCATTAAGGAAAATGAGAAATGGAAATTCCAGGTAAACAAGAAGCATAGGCCAAGTCCCTAATGTGGTTTGGAGCTTTGTGGGAGGTTTAATCTATAAACAAGCATTTCTTTTCTTAAATTTACTGACCCACTCTCCACTAGCCTTAAATGAATCACTTTTAGCACTTGTTTCAGGAGAAGTTTTTCAGGAGGTCAGTATGCAGCATCTTTGCTTTTTCATAACATCATTGCCTCCAAAATGCTGTCCCTGGCTAACTGCTTTTCATTCATCCAAATCAACAACGGTTATTCTACTTCTTCATACACCCTTAGCAACATCAGCACTCTTGATGGCCTCTTTATATTTTAAAATTGTGCTAATTGTTCATTTTACCAGCAACAAAAATAAACCCCCCCAAAAACCTGAAAATATTCACAGCAGGATTTCCTGAGATGTATATGATGCGAGGTTTAGCGGTAAACTGACTTGCATTTTCTCCTTTGTGGCCTGAGAGACACCTCTTGTCAAGCTGAAAGGGTTGTCAGGTAAAGAACTGACATTTTGTTTGAAAACAGAGACATTTTTTCTGGGAACAACTTGGTCAAGAACCGAGGTTTCACTATAAAAAGTCCTGGGGATGCAAGGTACAGCATGGCGATGATAGTTAACAATTGAATATTTGAAAGTTGCTAAGAGAGTCTATCTTAAAAGTTCTCATTGTAAGAAAAGAAAGTTATAACTATGTGTGGTAATGGATGTTAATGAAATTTATTGTGCTAATCATTTTATAATATATTAGAGGCCCGATGCACAAAATTCGTGCAAGAGTAGGCCTGCCTTCCCTTTGGCCACTGGCACTCAGGACCCCGGCTTTCCTCGCAGAGGAAGGCCCCGCCCACCTGCCGCAGCCCACTGGACAGTGGCCTCGGTCTCCCTCTGCAGGGCGATCATGGGGCGATGGCCGGGCCCCCAACCAATCGCATCCCACCCGCCTTGTCTGGCCTGGTGCCAGTGGGTGTTATAGCATGGTCCCAGATGGTTGTCCGGATGATTGTCCTGCTGTTCAGCTGTTTGGTCAATTTGCATATTACACTTTTATTATATAGGATACATATATAAAATCATGTTATATGCCTAAAACTAATATAATGTATATGTCAATTATATCTCATTTTTTTTTAAAACATGAAAATATCTAAATCCCCAGAACTTAAGGAGCCAGAATTGAAAACAAGCATTTCAGTGTTTCACTGCTCCAACTTTCTCAAAATATTTAGAATATTTTTTCACAATCTCCCTACTCTCTTATATCCTGCCTGTCTCTAATAGATTGTTCATGCTCTGTACCTAGGTAAAATGCATGTTAAGTGTACTACTGGTAGCACCCTGTCGCTGTAACTGAGTAGAGAAATGAGAAAAGATGAAGTCCCAAACTTGGACAGGGAGGGGGTTAATTTGAGAACTTTCAGAGAGTGAAAATTAATGAGTTTGGGGATGTATAGGTGTTAGGAGTGAGGAAGAGAAAGAGAAGAGTCAGGGATGCCTCAGAGATATCTAGCATAGATGACTGGTGGATAATGGTGCTGACTAGGGAAAATAAAGATAGAACAAAAGCCGTGCATATAAAAGGAGGGGAGACATGGAAGGCAACTGCCTCTTCCCACCACAGAATTCCCAGATATACAATTTAGTGGGAAGTAATGATTCAGAACTATGGATATATATGCCCTCTTTTGCCCTCCATCTCAAAACAAAACCCAATTTTTATTTTCACCACCACCACTCAGGGAAAATTGGGAACTGAGTGGCAGGATTTTAGTGAGAGGTTTTGAAGCATGGAGGCTGTGAGAAACTGCCTATGAAAATCTTGTTGAAAGACTGTGACAGGAGATTATCATGAGAATCAGGATGAAAGCACACAAATGACAATGAAAGCAGAGCGGCTGGAGAAGTGGACCCCGGGTTTGGAATTGGAGAAGAAGCAGAGAAAAGTCATAGCCTCTGAGTGATGCAGGAGAATGAACATGTGCAGAAAGTGGTTACTCAAAGAATCAGGGAGCCTGTGGAACCAGCCTGAGGACTTCCAGGGGCCTGAGAAGTAGGGCAAGACAGCATGTTGGGCCACAGCATGGAAAAAATGGTTGACTCGAAACTTGAAACTAGTCTGGAATTGAATGTGATTCAGTTTTTATTTTACTTGGACTGAACTTTTCTCATACTTCAAGTTCGTTTTGCCTCAGTGGCTCTTCTCTGTGTCCTGGGATGCATTGGAACAGAGGCCCAGAAAAGGAGCGGTCATCCTAGGGATGTGGTCAGAGGAAGAGAAGAATGTTTCTAGATCTCTGGTTGGCATTTATCTTCAAAAGAAGCCTGAGTTTGAGGAGAGACTGACTATTCTAGTCTGAATACTATGTCTTCTCCCAGAACTTTCCCCTTCCTGTCAAACCTCAGGGCCCATTTTGGGGAGGGTTCCTCCTTTTTCCTGTATGATTTTTAATAACAACATGCCATTTTCCCAGGGCCATCATTTTATTTGCTTAATTCATTTTTGGAATGCTTGTGTTCGCAGCATTGGTTAATACTATGAGAAGCTGGTCCCTTAATGTCTCGAAGGCATGTAAAACTGAGAACTTAGACTTGTTTGGGTCCAGGGTATTGTTACTCAAAGGCATACTTTGTTTTGCTCTCAAATTTGCATTCTTTTTCAAATATGCAAGAGCTGGCCAAAGTACTTTTAATGAGAAAGAATAAGAAAACAAATTTTCTTCCCAAACTTTATTATTATAAATTGTTTTTATTATAAGGGTTTAACAGAGCAGAGAATTAGACTTGCTGTCTCTTGTGAAACCTCAACAATTTAAAAAATTAAATTAATAAATATGAAATTAGGTATAATCTTTTTTCCCCCAGCCATGTTATGCACTCCTAAGAAACAAAGAGGAGAAAATCCTGTATCTATATGTAGTACAAACTCAGAAATTTTCACCTGCCATTTATTTCTATCTAGGATTTTCTAGGCAGAACAATCACACTATTTCACCTTTCTCTAAAGACTTAACAAACATAAATAGATCCATAAATAGCCATATAAATATAGGTTTTACCTTTTAAATAATAAAATTTCCAAGTTTGGAATACTGTCTTCTTAAAAAAAATAAAATAAAATGAGGCCTGTAACTCATTAAAATGGAATCTTACACCCCAAAATTGTCTCAGGGCCTTTTAAATACATAAATAACTTAAAGCCCTTAGAAAAGCAAGTAAGAAGCAAAATTGTACTCAGTTTAAACCTTCCTTCTTGGGGAGATGGAAAGATGATTCAAAGTCAATCTCTGAACCCAAGTGTTATCTATGAAATTTCAGTTGAATGAACTCATTTAAGAACCCTAGTGAGTTGGTCAGAAATGGGGCTAGGTCTACTCCCCAGAAAGCCTAACAGATTCAGAGAGCTGGGATCAGACTGGAAACTCTTAAGCCACGTGGTGGACAATGGGGGTGACACAGGTGCAGCCCACAGTGATGAGTATCTTCTCCAGCCGGAAGGAGTGGGGGCAGTGCCGAGGCTCCCTACGCAAGACCAGGATCTCCTGCTGGATGGGGACGGAGTTCAGGTGGTGGTCCATCTTCCCTTCAGGATTGACACAGAACAAGTGGCGGCACTTTGCCTCCCAGATCACAGAGGGATATCTCTCAGGGTCCTCATTGCGGCTACAGGGAGAGACAAAAGCCAGGAAGAAAGTGAATTCCTGGTAAAGCAGGAAGGAAATCAAACAGGAATAATTGAAGGAAGACAAATTCAGAGGATGACAAACTATAGTCATTGCATATTCTCTAAGGGCTGTTAGTCTGAAAAAGAAGTAGTTTCAGGAAAACCAGGGGTGGATTTTTAAGCACATGAAATATTATGGAGAAAAGGCAATGATCTTCAAATCTCTTTGAAAACTGAACAAAGATGACTGAGACTATAGAAGGGATTTAAGTTTGACATGAGGATACTTTTATTAGGGTACATTCGATAGATGGATAAAGACCAAGGGAATCATCTAGGAATAAAATAGTTGTTAATCTGACTTAATGAAGTTTGAACATGGAATGCATCAAAATTTTATCTGACAACACATTCCTGGAACAGAGCCCAGAGCTGATTAGAAGGGCTAGAAACAAAAGTTTAAGCCACTCTATAACCCTTAATTTCCTCTCTCCTCCAGCTGAGTCGATGACTTCCTCTGATATTTTTTAAATTTATTTTTTAAAATAGGTTTTTATTGATTTTAGAGATAGAGAAGGGAGAGAGATAAAGAGATAAAAACATTAATGAGAAAGAAACATCAATTGGCTGCCTCCTACACACCCCCTACTGGGGATCGAGCCTGAAACCCCTACATGTGCCCTGACAAGGAATCAAATCATTGACCTCTTAGTTCATCGTCCACCCTGAACAACTAAGCCATACCAAGCTGGCTGCTTTGAATTTTAATTGATGTACTTAAACTATTCTTAGTAATTGGAAGAGGAGAAAAAACTCCACAGTCAGGTGAATCTGTAGGTGCCACATAATTGAGGCTTATTTGCATAAAATCAAATTAAATATATTTTTAAATTTAATTCTTCATGGGGGTCTAAATACTAGATGTATTAAGGACACATCAAATATAGATCTGTTGGGATGTAGACCAAGGCTATCTAACCTAAAAAGGGGTGGCAATACCCAAGATGATACTTCTTCCTCCACTGAGATTCAAGCTATATTTTCCAAGTTCTAATAAGACAAAAAAAGTGCATAAAAATACCCATTAATTACTAGTAATTTACAAGAAATCTTCTCAATGGAGACCCTTGTAAAGAAAGAGAATTCAAGCATTAATCCCTAAGATTAAATAAAAAATAGACTTGGGGTATCATAAATATTAAAATGTAGACAACACAAATTGGGGTGAGTTTTTGGTGTCAGTGACAACGAAATCTAATAGGATGGGTATTGGGGGTGGGGCCTCTTGTGCTCTAGCAAATAAGTTTGTAGCATGAAAGTTTGAGAACCATTGTTTTGCACAATGGCCCTTCCAGGTTGCACTGATGATTCTGAGTGAGTAAAATTTTCCCTCCAAGTGATTTAACTGGCAGTCTGATGCATAAAATGTAGAAGAAAACAGGTTTTATCTAAGGCCCTTACGTACTGGAGATTCCAAGGTGAGGTGGACCGGTTGTAGTAATCTGAGGGCCTTCTAGAATTTGCATTCGAATTATGGATATTTAGGTTGACTCTCACGCTCTGAGGGAAGTTCTTGTCCTCAGTATTTGGGCATTTTGGATTTCGTGGAATTACTCTTGCTGCCTTCACTATAGCCACCAGACTCAGCAGCAGTAGCAGTGACTGGAACTGAATGGGAAAGGAGAAAGAGAGGTGGGAGATTGGATTAGTAAATGGTTTTTGTTAACAAATTGTGATAACAATGTATTGCTAATCATAGACAACATACTATATTCCAGGACAATCTATTCTAAATTTTCAGATCAGTTAAATAAAAACCTGGTTAGGTGACTAAAATAATAAGACCACAGAGTTTTTACCAGTTCTAAACATTCATCTTTTGAATTAGGAAAGGCACATTATTTATTGGCTGGCGCTAATTTTAGTAAAAATGACAAGTCATCATACTGTCAGTACATCCATCACTGCCAGGTCATTGGGATAATATTGACCTTGATTTTTAGGAGGAAATGTCTTCCTGTGCCTTGGTGCTCTGTCTTGTCATTGTGTGAAACCCTATGTGAAGGCAAATGTGCCCTTAAGAAACGGCCATAGAAAATCCAGGTGGTATCAGTATTTGTATTAGAAATGCTATTAGTACCATTGGCAAACATCCAACCAAAAACTGGATTTTCCTTATGTTTTCTTAGGTATATTTTACAGTTTTCTAAATTTACATATATTGATTCTGCGGGCGCCCGGCTAGCTCAGTCGGTAGAGCATGAGACTCCTAAATTTACATATATTGATTCTATAATCAAATTACATTTCAAAAGAGATATTTTAAGAATATAAAAACCATTTACTCTAAACCACAGTTATACTGTATCTGATGATAATAAATGGTTTGGTGAACCAAGACTGTAGTATAATAATAGGATAATGGAAAGAAAAGTTATTGCCACAAGTAATTAAATCCTCAAGGATTATGATCCATTTTATTTTGGATTAAAGAAAAATGCTGTGGGAGAATTATATTAAATCACTTGTACTCAGAAGAGTAGATTTTCAATAAACATTCTTTCTTACTGCACGGCATTATATGACACTTCTTTGCATGATTTAGCCCCAATATAGCTATCTTTCAGTTTTAATCTCATCTTTCAAACTGATGAGTACCAGTTCTTGAACATGCTATACAATGACAAGTATCTACCAAAGCTTTCATTTCCTATTCTACATGATCTCCATAGTCAGAATCCAGAATTTCATGCCCAAGGTCCAGAAGTATCATCTGGTCCAAATCAATAAGAGCATTGCACGTTAGTGCAGGACTCACCATGGAGGAAGTTCTCACAGAAGCCATTGTAGTTTCTCTTGATTCACTGGAGATGGATGAGCTTGTGCCTGCTGTGAGATGGATGAAGTGTTACACTATCTTCTCTCTTTTTATAGGACTTTGATCCTTCTGTGGTCACTTGCGTTGGCGTGTCGGGGTGACACCATTTTGGTTAAAAGTTCCATCCTCAAATGAGGTCAGAGAAGAACCTCCTCTTCATAGAGAATAATACCTGCTTCATATCATGAAGGAAAATTGGAAGGACAGAAATTTATGTTTCTAAAGACTATTTCCTCTCTTCATTCTTCAAGGAACTATTAGTCAGCAAAGCTGAGTAAAGGTGCTCTACTTATGAGCTGATATTAATTCATTTACGGCCATACATGAAGCTGCTATAAGAGCTATGCTTTATTTTAATGGCTCATAGGAAAATACAAGTTTGACACAATGTTCAAGTTTTCTAGTGTCATGCAACTTGATTTCCCATTTGATAATTCCTTTCCTTATCATATTCCTTAACTGATGTTATAAAGGCCATTTTAGAAACTACTCAGAATCTCACCATATAAACAAACAAAAAATAAATTGTTTAATGATGTAGAATATATCATTTTATTGAATTGACACCTGCTTTGTTGAATGTTTATTCTGTTAAGGAACTAATACCTAGCTTCAAGAGACATGAGATTTAGGATTAAAAATATGTCTAACAAGCAACTTGTTAACTCATGCAGTTCCTCAGGAGGAATGAGTTGGAGGTGGAGGGAGGAGATGTAGACAGGCAATGGAAGGATTTGGAAATGTAGAGATTGGAGAAATGTGATGGAGGTAGAGCAGAAGAGGGTAATGAATAGAAGAGAATGACAAATATAAGAAGGAAGAGAAGGAATGAAAGAGATAAGCAGCTAAGAGAGAAGGATATGGTTTTCTCTTTCCTTTTCTGTCCATTGTTTAAGTGAGATGAACTTTGATTTCAGGTCTTTGAGAATAGTTCCACCTTAGGAACTCTGAGGACCAGCTCAAGGATGATAAAGATGATGGGTGAGTGGATATAGATGTGGTTGGCCACTTATTACCTTCTCTCTGTCCCTTCTCCTCAGTGAGGTGAACATGGCTCCCATGTCCTCTCAGCTGGTATCTAATATTATTTATAAGGATAATATCTCATATAATTCAGGAGTCTAACTAGCAGTTCTACCTCGACAATTAGGATATATAAGAAGTTGGCTAAATCTTGGGTGTGTTCGTCCTGAGATGCATTCCTCCTTGTCCTGATCTACTCTATCTCAGAAAACTGACCCTTCAAGCTGCTTTCTCAGACTCCCTGGTCAGCTGGCTTTTAGCTGTGTTCAGCCAGAAGGATATTTAATCAGAGGGAAGGAGAGTGGGAGTGGCGAGAAGGAAGGGGATGGATATAAGGGGCTTCCTCACTATCTCCTAGAGCACTGCTAACTCCTTTTGTGGGATGGTAGTAGCCTCTTGCTGATGCCAATCTCAATCAGTTCCTTGCATTAAATTTCCTCTATTGCAAATGCCTAAAGTGACTTCTGCTTTACTGGCTAGACTGTGTCTTGACTGATTAGTGAGGAAGGCCATGAGCAGCTGACTCTCAGGGGTGATGGTAGATGATCTTGATGGCAAAGCAGATTCTGATGGAAAAGAAAGTAAAATGCAGCCTCTCATGATTCCCCTAGTTCTGGTGTTGACATCACTCTCTATCCTTGAAGACATGGAGTCACTATGAGCTCTCCTGTCCCTCCTCTCCTTGATCAGGTAACAATCTTAGAAGCTGCCGTGTCTCTCATATCTGTTATCTATTCCCAGACTTACTACCATTCCCTAACTTACACTGTTATCCACTTGGACTGTTTTAATAGCCACCTTTGCTCTTCCCAATTGCTGCCTTCCACCCACCTTCAACATTTCTGCAATAATGATTCTCAACGCATGGCTTTGAATTGTGCCTTCATGTCCCATTAGTTTGTTTACAGTACAAAATGCAAAACCCTTAGCATTTGAATTGGTATTTGAGTTACCATTTGAGATCTGCAACCTTTCTAGCTTCACCTCCTATCATGATCCATGACCTGGGATCATGGGTCCTGATTACCCTCCTTCTAATGCCCATACAGCTTTTGTTAAGGTACTGTCTCTGAAATGCCCTTCCCCATCCTCAGTTTATCAAAATGCTACTTGGCCTTCCAGGTCCTGTTCAAATGTCTTTTATATCTGGAAGTCTCCTGATTATTTTAGTTGGAATGAGCAGCTCCCATAACATGTAGCTTATATCTCCCTCCCTAGTACTTTTGCTTCATTTATTTAGTAGGAAAAAGTATGTTTAAGATATACGTCTATTTCCATTTTTAGATTTTACTGTAATCCTTCAAGGCCAGTGTGTTGTTCATCTTTGTAACTCCCGAGGTGCCTAATGTCAAGCTTCATGCAACAAAGGTCTTCACAGATTGCTTTCATGTTGTTGATTTCTCTCTGATATCCAGCTGTTTGTGCATATTTCTAGTGTATTGCATGGTATTTGTTTACATATCTGATTTTATTTTATTTTTTGCTAGACTGTGAGCTACCTAGAGAGAGGTAGCCATCTTATTAGTCTTTGTATCACCTCACATAATGTCTAATAAATAGTAACTGCTCAATATTTTTTACTGATTGATAGTATGAATAATGTTATTTGGGTAGTTCAGAATCTTGAATATTCTTTTTGGAATCCAGTTGCATTCCAGTGACTATATTGAGTATTGTAATGTCTTGACTCTCTATCCTGGCTGCTTTAAAAGTAGTGTGACAAAGTTTTAGTCTATTTTGGACCATCTGGAGCGGAGAAAAGAGTTCCTTGTTGTTGCTTTCTGACAAGGATGAGGTGGAAGAGAATGTGTTTGCTACCAGTTCTTTTGATTGATGGCTAAGGAGGAAAAGCTGACTCTAGCTGATCTGCCTGTGCTTGCCTTCCATGCCAATGAAATCTAGCCTGTGTTCCATACTTTGAAATATCAAACCTTGCTTTAAAATAAGAATGGAGAAACAAGGCGGGTTTTCACAAAAGTGTAAAAATGATAATATTGAAGTGGTGGTCAAAGCTGGCTGTGTTCTCTCTTGAGTAGGACTAGTTTCCCAGATGCACACTTGAGCTGGACACCTGTTCCTTCTGGAGGAATAGTCAGAAACAGAAAGAGGGTGTGGGGCTCTTCCTCTGAGTCTGTCTACAGAGACAGCTGGCTCAAGTTTGGGTCCCAGTATGCTAAGAAAGAAGGAATGCTGGATTAAAAATTAGGGTGTCTAGAACACTGGATGAGAGGGCACTTTTGTTTTCATTGTAGATCTGCCATTAACTACTCATGACCTTGGGTACTTCATGTTTTTGAGGCTCAGTTTCCCTCTTTATAAAATGAGTTTTTGAATTTTGAGTGTTTTAGTCAAGATGGTGAAGTAGGTGGCAGCTGTACTTACCTCCTCCCATGACCACATCAAAATTACAACTAAATTATAGAAAAATCAACCTGGAGAATTATATGAAGACTAGCTTAACAGAAGTCTTATCACAGAATATAAAAAAGAAGCCACATGGAGACTGGCAGAAGATGCTTATCTGGCTGGCCCTGCACCCATGTGTGGTGGTTGAGAATCAGAAGGAAATATCTCAACTATAGAGGTCTCCCCTGAGTAGTGAGGGGACTCAGTCCAATACCAGGCTCCACACCATGAAGCACCAGTGTTAGAAAGAGGGCCCTCACAACATCTGGCTGATAAATCAGCAAAGATTCTGTCTATCTGTATAAGATGGCTGTTGGAAACCCAAGGGTCCCCTTAATGGGCTCATGCACAGATTTACTTGCTCACAGTTATTCACCTTGGGCTCCATTGAAGGGATAACAGCTAGGGGGTGTGCCAGAGACACACAGGGAGAAACTGAGTTGTATAGCTTCAGGGCAAGGGCTGGATGAACAGCTGCCATTATCTGACCCCCCCCCCCCCACCCCAGCCAAACCTGAATCTGCATTAGCCTAGTGACCACCACTTGAGTGTTGCCTAAGGCTTTTTTAGCAGGCTGAGCCTTATGGAAAACCAGCAGGTGGTGGCAGGCCTCAGGGATCCTTTTTTTTGTTTTGTTTTGGTTAATCCTCACCTAAGGAAACTTTTTCATTGATTTTTAGAGAGAGAAGAAGGGAGAGTGAGAGACAGAGAGAGAAACATCAATGTGAGAGAGACACATCGATTGGTTGCCTCCATATGTGGCCCAACCAGATTGGGGATCCAGCCTGCAACCGAAGTACATGCCCTTGACTCGAATCAAACCTGGGACCGACCCTTCATCCCATGGGCTGATGCTCTATCCACTGAGCAAACCAGCTAGGACTCAGGGATCCCTTTTGCTGAGCAGTCCCAGGACTGATATTGGTGGCAGCTGGCACATTGGTTCACAGTGTTACCTTTCCCGTATGCCTCCAGGCCTATCACAGGAAACAACCAATTGCATTCACTTTGTAGCTCTTACCAGGTAGCGCCAGGCAGCAACTAACCTTGGCCTGAACTGAAACTTCTCCCAAGAGGCCCCAGAACCAATACATCTGGTGGCGAGCTTCAAACCATAACAGAGCACCAGCTAATTAGCTCCATAAGCAGCCCACTCAAAGGGAGGTCTCAGCAGGCACCAGAACCTGCTGGGCAAATTCCATTCTGTGGGGTCAACCCCTACTCAGCAGCTCATATGCTGTGGTCATGGAAAATTCTCACAGCTAGCCTGAGGGACAAACCTAACCACTGATGTGCCAGTAGCAATCAAGGCTCAGCTACAACAGGAGAGCGCACACAGCCCACACAAAAGACACTGCTGGAGCACTTAAGTCAGTGGATCAGAGAGGCTAAACCAGAGAGCCGCCAGGACACATACTACATAAGGCTACCCTGCTAAGACTGGGAGATATAACAAATCTACCTAATGCATAGAAATAAACACAATGAAGTAGCAAGAATAGGGAGACAAACAAGCCCAAGTGAAAGAACAGAACAAA